GTTGGGGTCTCATAACAATGTATGTAAAAAAAAAAAAAAATTCTGTATGGGAGACTAACTTGAAATGTAAACGTCATTTAATTACAACAATTAAAAAAAAAAGAATATATTAAAAACCCACTGCTGAAGAATCGATTCCAATGTATAGCGACCCTATAGGACAGAGAACTGCTCCATAGGGTTCCCAAGGCTGTAATCTTTATGGGAGCAGATTACTTCACCTTTCTCCCGCAGAGAAGCTGGTAAGTTCAAACCACCAACCTTTTCATTAGCAGCCGAGCCCTTAACCACTGTACCATTAGAGCTCCCTAAGAATATATACAGTAAAGAGGTAAAATAACTCAAGAGACTTCAAAGCAGCAAAATCAGGAGTTAGATACCTTATCATTCAATCCCAAGCGCTATAATTCATGGGTCCCACTGCAGTCCTCTGACAGATTATGAATTTGCTCAATCTTTTTTTTTTTCTATACTATAAAAAAGAATACATCAAGAGTATGAGACTGAAATTAAGACTACAGTCATACTTTGCTCAAAAAGCAGAAATACTCCTTTGCTTCCCAAGTAAATCAGCCAAGAATTGGTTAAGGCTGTTTCCTTTAAATGCCACTCTTCTGAATTGTAGAAGAACTACTCTGACTCCCTACCACATTTGTTTGACTATCCTAAGTAAAAAAAAACTTGATATTTTGAGGATGGACTGAATACTTACAGAAACAGTAGCAAGATATCATTCATCTCTAACTCTACTAGATATTATGAATTAAAACATGGGATCAAAAGCCATTTGGAGTCAAAAATTATTTCAAATTCCAGTTAAGATAGTGAAGACAGACCTTTCCACCTCCTTCTCTCCAAAATCACACCAAAACAATAAGATAAACAAGAAATAAAAATACATTCCACCTTCATTTCAATAAAAAGATATTTGTAACCCTAGGGGCCCTGGTGGTGCCGTAGTTAAACATTTGGCTGCTAACCAAAAGGCCAGCAGTTCAAATCCACCAGTCGCTCCTTAGAAACCCTATGGGGCAGTTCTACTCTGTCCTATAGGGTCGCTATGAGTCAGAATTGACTCAACAGCAATGGGTTTTTTTAACCACAATATATGAAGACAAAAAATCTTACAATAATCTCTGGGCATGCTAAAGAAGATACCATGAAGAGCAAGCCAACTCATGCCTCCGAACCCTGGGAAAGGCTTAGCAATAGCAGATATCAGATACCACACAGAAACTGAGGGCCTGGCTAAAGGTCACCACCAAGACGCAGCCTCTATCTCACATAGCCAGAAACTGTTGTTAGATGCCATCAAGTTGGTTCCCATTCATAGCAACCCTATGTTCAACAGAATGAAACACTGATCAGTCCTGAGCCATCCTCACAATTGTTGCTATGTTTGAGCCCACTGTTGCAGCCACTGTCAAGCTAGATATTACCAGTCCTCAAATCCAAGCAGGACTGTAAAGGTTTATTCTCTGGAAAACTTGAAATAGATAATCTGAATTCAGGAACACCAGGCTCAATGGAGTGTGGGGATAAGAACTCAGACTAACAACCGAAAACAAAAACCAAACGTTAAGTCGATTCTGACACATGGCCAACTCCGCGTGTACAGAATAAAAAAACTACACTTCATAGGATTTTCAAGGCTGTGACCTTTCAGAAGCAGATTACAAGGCGTTTCTACTGAGGCATCTTTGGGAGGGTTCAAACCGTCAATCTTTCAGTTAGTAGTCAAGTGCTTAACCATTTGTACCACCCAGAGACTCTTAAGACTAAAAACAGGGAGACTAAAAAAATAAAGACTAAGTACAAATATGTATAATGAAACTATAACTAACACTCACCCATCCACCCAAATCCACTTAGATGTTCAGATTCAAGAACACAGGCACCCAGACTGATTACCCACTGCCCCTAAAGGCAGGAGATCTGAGGGTCTTTCTCTGGAGAAACTGAATGGTTCCAGATACTAAAGGCCTATCGATATTAATGCTTTGGGTGCTTCCCCAATAAAACAAAACAGGTTCTGTTCCATCTGTAGCAGAGCCCACCAATTAAAAGCCCTTCCTAAGCAGAGCTTGCAAACATCTTTTTAATGATCCATCCTTAACTATGAATGTAGTCTGAAATCACCAATCATTTGAGGAAAGCTTTCTAAAATAAAATACAGATCAAAATAAACAGGGAGAAAAAAGAAGTTGAAGAAAAGAGAAAGCAAGGAAATGTCAAAAAAGCTATCCTCCAAGAAGTAAGATGCTCAAAACAAGAACAAGATGCCTAAGAAAAAGAAAATAAGAAAAAGCTACTAAAAATATGGCAGCCAAAAAAAATCCTCAACAGAAAAATTAGAAGATAAAGTCAAGGAAATCTCCCAGAAAGTAGAATAAATTAGGATTGTAAAATAGGAAATTAGGCAATGAATGCAAGAAGTCCGATATCCAATTAAAGAGAAAACAGAAAATAAAGAGAAGGAAATTATAGGAAAAAATGCAAGAAAACTCTTAAGAACTGAAGGATCTGAAAAGGTCCACCAAGTACCCAGCACTATGGTTTTATAAAAAGACCTACCCACTTAGGCCCACCATTGTGAAATGTGTTACTAGGAATTACGACGGGAAAAAAAACTAAAAACTTCCAGATACAAACTAGGATAAAGAATCAGAATGATGACATCAAACTTGCCAGCAACATCAGAAACTAGAAGACAAGGGAGCAATGCCTTCCAAATCCCAAGGGAAGCCATACACCTATGGCAATAGATTTTCAACAAGAGAGTTAAGTCCATTCAATGGGTAAAGAATAGTTTCTTCAATAAATAGGCCTGGGACAACTGGATTTCCACATGTAAAAGAATGAAGTCGGACCCTATGTCACACCACATACAAAAATTAATTCAAAATGGATCAACAAGCTAAATATAAGAGCTAAAATCATAAAACTCTCATAAGGAAACATAGGGATAAACCCTCAGGACTTTGTATCTGGCAATGGATTCTTAGGGCACCAAAAGCACAAGCAAGAAAATAAACTGGACTTCAGCAAAATAAAAACTTTCTTGCCTCAAAGGACATTATCAAGAAAGTGTAAAAGACAACCTACAAAATGGGAGAAAATACTTGAGAATCATGTATCTGATGAGGGTTTAATATCCAAAATAAATTGAAAAAAAAAAAAACTTTTACAACTCAGTAGCCATACAAGGTACAAAAATTGGTCTCTATTCACCCGGAGCAACAGAGGAAGGAGAGACAGGAATAAGAGGAAATGGAATGTGTGGCTAACTGCCTCCTGAAAAACAGCCTCCTATGCCATTAGACCAGAAGAACTGGATGGTGCCCAGCTACCACTACTGAATATTTTGATAAGATTCTATAGGGGAACCCTGATCAAAATGGGAAAAATGCAGAACAGAATTCCAAATCCTGATGGAATCCAGACTTTCTGCAGTCACTGAAGCTGGTGAACCCCTGAAACTACTGCCCTGAGATAATCTTTAAACCTTAAATCTTAAACCAAAAATATCCCCTGAAGCCTTCCTTAACCAAAGAACAATTTAGCTTAATTAGTAAAGAATGTCTACCTTGAGCAATGTGCTCTTTTAACCATCTATGGGATCAAATGGACAACAGCAACTAGAAAGGTTAGATAGGAAACTTAAGAGGGCAGTGAGTTTATGTTAATGGAGGAGGAATAACTCAGAAAAGGAGAGTGAGAATGGATGCACAACTTGAAAAATATAATCAATATCACTGAATTGCACATGTAGAAATTGTTGAATTGGTGCATGTTCTGCTGTGTATACTCTCAACAACAAAAAAAGAATCTTCACAACTCAACAACAAAAAGACAAACAACTCAATTAAAAAATGTGCAAAGGATTTGAATACACATTTCTCTAAAGATATACAAATGACCAATAAGCCCATGAAAAGATGCTCAACATCATTAGTCATTAGGGAAATGCAAATCAAAACCACAATGAGATAACACTAACACTCACTAGGATGGCTATAAAAATAATAATAAGTGTTGGCAAGGATGTGGAGAAACTGAACCCTTGTCCATTGCTGATACAAATGTAAAACGATGCTGCCATTTCGAAAAACAATTTGATGGTTCCTCAAAAAGTTAATCATAGAATTAACATATGACTCAGCAACTCCACTTCTGGGTATATACCCAAAAGAATGGAAAGCAGGGACTCAAACAGATACTTGTATACCAATGTCCACTGCAGCACTATTCACAATAGTCAAAAGGTGGAAACAACCCAAGTGTCCATCAACAGATGAATGGATAAACAAAATGTGGTATATGCATACAAAGGAATAATATTCAGCCAAAAAGAGAAAAGAAGTTCTGATACATACTATGACATATATGAACCATGAAAACATTATGCAAGGTGAATTTAAGTCAGACACAAAAGGATAAATATTGCATGATCCCACTTATATGAAATATCTAGAACAGGCAAATCCATAGAGACCAAAGTAGCTTAGTGGTTATCAAGGAATGGAGAGGAGGATGAAAAGGGAGTTACTGCTTAATGGTTATTACTTAGTTTCGTTTGGAGTGTAGAAAAAGTTTTGGAAATAGCAGGGATGACTCCATAACCCTGTGAATTAATGCTGTTGAATGGTACACTTAAAATGGCAAAATTTTGTTATGTATGAAAAACGTAAATAAAATAAAAAAGGTAAAAAAATAAATAAATAAATCCTAAAGGAAAATTGTTTTCAATCTAGAATTCTATGCCTGTTAAACTTTTAATCACATGTTAAGTAATATAATTAAGACCCTGTCAAATATTCAAAGTCTCAAAAAATTTACTCTGCCATGCACCCTTTTCTCAAGAAGCTACTAGAGAATAATATGCTCCACCAAAAAAGGTAGTAAACCAACAAAAAGGCATGGCAAAAACAGGGTATCACACACAGGAGAGGCGCTGAGGGAATTCCCAAGGCAATAGCTGTGCAACTATCCTACTTCCATAACCTACATGATATGTGATAAAATTACACAGAATATACACACAAAAATGAGTGCGAGTAATAGTCTAGCTTAACTAGTAAAGAATGTCTGCATTAAGCATTGTGCTCTTTCCAAATCTATCTATATGGAATCAAACTGACAACAGCAACTCGAAAGATTAGATAGAAACACTTAGGGGGCAGTGAGTTCATGTTAATGGAGGAGGAACAACTCAGAAAAGGAGGATGAGAATGGCTGCATAGATCAAAGAATGTAATCAATGAATCAATGTCACTAAACTGTACATGAAGAAATTGTTGAATTGATGTATGTTTTGCTGTGTATATTCTCAACAACAATAACAAAACAAATATTTTTTAAAAATGAGCACAAATAAAACTGGGAAATCTAAATGAGACTGTTGTATTGCACCAATGTCAACATCCTGCTTGTGATACTATATTACAGTTCTATAAAATGTTACCATTGGGAGAAACCGGGTAAAGCGTACAAGAGATTTCTCTGTATTATTTCTTAAAACTGCATGTGAATGTACAATTATCTCAATAAAAATATCAATTTAAAGAAGTCTGCATAAGCACTGTTATTAATATGAAAGAAACAAATCAACACTGTCCTCGTTCTGATTTTGATACGTTGTACTTTTTGGATCTCCAGAATAATGGCTTTTCCATTTTCAAATGTTTTACAACCTTGGATGCTCTGTTTCTGGGTCATACTGGAAACTTAAGTGTTCCATCATCAGTTGCTATTTTCCTTAAAAACATACTCTTTCATCTCTGGAGAGAGGAATAAACATCAAGCACTCACATTTGCACGCAACCCAAAATACATGGCACTGTCTTTAAACAAAATTTTTTTTCTCACTTCAGATATCCCTTAAGAATGAGTTTTCTTCATCAGAATTTCATTCTAATCATCTTTATAAGGGAAGAATTTATTTCATCAGCCCAATTAATTATCTATTTAAAAGGAACAAAATCCATGACTTTACAAGA